GAAGTCTGAGTACAGAGGAAGAGGAACAGATAAGGGGGGGGGGGGGGAGAAACCTGAGATTGGGTTCTAGAGGGATGGGAACCAGGGGGTCTATGTTTAGGTTATAGGACCTATGGGAGTGGGCAGCCAGGGCCTGGGTCTTCCTTTTGTAAGGGAGGGGAGGAAAATGGGCAAGCTTCATTGGGAGCAGGGGTTTTTCTGGGCTGATAATCTGGATGGGTTCTGCAGAAGAGACAAGCAGACAGTGAAGCCACTATGCCTGCCAGCTCATGCCTCACACTCCACTTCCCTAGTCCCCCTGCTTGCTGCCTACCCTACTTCTTCATCTTGTATTGCTGTTGATGCCAGCCTGAAAGAATAAAATGGCCGTGACGTCCGTTGCAAAAAGTGTGAAGCCTTCTATGGGAGTAGATTTAAAGGGCTTCATGATGGAACCAGGGGTAGGACTCAAGCATTTTGCCCTCTAGTTCTAGGATTAAAACCTTCCTAGAGACACCAAGAAAACAAATTCAGCCCAGAAAAGAGAAGGCTGGTTCAATAGGTGAATTTAGAGTGAAACCCCAGAATCCTCCCTCTTTCTGCCTCTAATCTGAATGCCTTTAAGGATCTGGGATGCTACAACCCAGCCTCTTCCCCCATTTTCCTGGTCCTTAAAAACTTCAGAGGATGATGTGAGGAGGAAAGGGGAGATAAGTCAGAGTTGTATTCCTTTTTTCCCTCATTGCAGCAGCAGAGGGTAGAGACAAAGGGTCTTTGATTTGGTTCATGGAAAGGGTCTGTGTAGCAAAGGACATATCCTTGGTTGTCCTGGGGAAGGACAGGGTGTGGTATTGATAACCCAGAATCACCTTCCCTCACAAATATTTTCTGACTGGTTCCTACCTCAGTCTTAGGAACACCCCTTGTTTCTCCCCACCCTTGTCTCTAAGTGGCAGCATGATCAGAAATGAGCTCTGGGAAGATTCTAATAAGACACCTCCTTTTGAAGAAGAATCACATGAATTTGGGGGTTTGCTTGCAATCAGTCAGCTCCCAGGACTCTTCTCCTATAGTATCCCCTTTGTTAAGCTCACTTCCATTCCTTTTCCATGAGATTTGTCCACCACCTTATTCAAAAATAAGCCTTCTCCTTCCTCCTTCCTGTGTTCTTGTCCCCTACACTTGGGTCCTTTCTCCCAAAGGAATTGGAGTTTTCCTGTGTTACTTGACCCTCTGAGAACAACTCAGCCTCATTCTGAGGGTTTCTGAACCTGAACCCTCCTTCAATCTATACAGTTCTGCTGCCATCTTGGTCTGGGCTTTACAGTCAAATTGGACTACTGAGTGGAGGAAATTAGTGGAGAGCTGGAGGTCCAGGAAAGAGGTGAAATGTAGCTTTGTAGATATTTTCTGAGGCTATGGCTGAGCTGTTTAGTTCCCATTAGTCCATCACTTTCACCACGCACACCCCCCCACATACACTCGCTTTCTCCCATCCTCACCGCAACCATCACTCTAGACTACTTGAGTCAGTAATTCTCAGCTCTCCCCGTCTCAGGGATGTTGTCCCAGGGAACCTAGCCTGTAGGAAAGATCCTACCTACCATGCCCTCCACCTAGCCCATTTCTGAAATTCTCTCGGAAGGGATGGGGATGGGAGACAGCCTCTCCTGGTCAATTTCTTCAAAGACCTCCTTCCCACCCCCACACCCTTATCCCAACCTTGTTTATCTCTTGCTCATAAGCAGGACAACTGTTCTCAATGGCACGTCATTTGGAGGAGACCAAGATCTCAATAGCCTAAATCTGCCCCAGGGGAGGGGGTGTTGAGCGCGGAACGAGCAAAAGACCGCCTCCCTTTTTAAAAAAAGCACTTTATTCCTTGCACCTGAGGAGGTATTTGAAACGTAACCTATTCATGTTCCTGGAGATGTAACACCCCTCATTTTCCATGCTGGGTAAAGACAAAAACCCTTTACAACATGTTTCTGGAACTTGTCAGCAGCTGCCAGGAGGGGCATGTTAATTAAACGTCGGCAAAGATGGAAGCAAGAGGCCCCGGCTCTAATTGGACAGTTTGCTTCTCGGAATTGAAAAACATTGTGACAAAGGAGGAGGTGCGGGGCGGCTCACAAAGGGGTGCCGCGGAGGGATTCGGCAGGCGGCAGGCGGGGAGATGGCTTTGATTTCAGCTGATGCAGGCCCCCGGAGCTCCCCGGCTGGGGAAGGGCTGGGAAAGCCCCTTCCAGGGGGTTGTGAGGGGCCGGTCCCCACCCCCCAGCTCACTGCCCCGCTGCCCCCAGGCTCCAGGAGAAGGGCAGACGGGCCAGAGCCTGGGGATTTTTTTTAATCACCCACAGATAATTTCGTCCATAGAGTAATTTACCATTTTCAAAGCCCTTTCACACGCGCAGTTTCACTTGATCCGAGCTCAGCTACAGCCCTGTGAAGTAGGCGGGGCAAGCATCCATAGTCGTCTTATTAGTTGCAATATGCACATTTGTGTAGCCCCTTAAGTTTTAACTAAGGCTTTCCTCACAACAGTTTCTTTGAGGTCAGCAGGGAAAGGATTATTGATTCTCACTTTCCAGACATGGAAACTGAGACCCCGAGGGATGGCAGTGGTGGTTGTCTGTCCTTCCTTCTCGTTCGAGGTTTGCAATTGAGCCTGAGAAAGATTAGATGACTTGTCCAGGGTCACACAGCTATCCCGTATGGTAGGAAGATTGGAGAGGTCTTCCTGACTCCAACTGCGGCACTCTATATTAGTGGTGTCAAATTAAAAAAGAAGTGGGGTCTGCTAATTAGCACAAAAGGATCCCTCATGGTTACATATTGGTTTAGTTTTAAAATTCAATATTATCTAGATTTTATTGTATTTTATTTATTTTAACTGTTTCCCAATTACATTTTAATCTGGTTCCCAGTGTACACGGAGTGCTGGAGGGGCCTCATGAAGCTGCTAGACTTTTGCCCTATTTGTTGTTCAGTCATTGTTTCAGTCATATCCAACTCTTCATGACCTCATTTGGGGTTTTCTTGGCAAAGATACTGGAGTGGTTGGCCATTGCCTTCTCCAGCTCATTTTACATATGAGGAAACTGAGGCAAACAAGGTTAAATGAATTACCCAAGGTTACACAGCTAGCACGTATCTGAGGCTGGATTTGAACTCAGGAAGAGCAGTCTCCCTGCCTCTAGGCCCAATGTACTAGCCACTGTACTACCTAGCTGCTCTTAAATCCTACACCACCTATCTTTAAAGTGATTTGTGCAATGTCACATAATAATAAATGAGAGTTAGGATTCAAACCACGTTGACTCGATCTACGTCCAGGCCTCATTCTATAGCACTGTACCTAAACAGAAGAGAGTGAAGCTCAGACAGTAAACCTGCCTAGGTCACATTGCTTAGTAAAGGGGCAAAGACAGTCCTGGAGCCCAAATCTTTTGACTCTTAACTTAGTCTGATATTTGCCACTTCTCCACACTCCCTTTCAGAAACAAAGAAAAGAAGGAAAGGAAAGGCCCCTGAAAGCTATTCTCTTGGATAAATTTTAAGCCAGGCATCCCTCAACCTGAAGGGGCCTGTCTGAGAGATTTGTGGTGGGAAAAGTGTTCGGAGATTTCTAGAAGGGTCTAGAATAGCTGGAAGGGAAGACAATACTCTGTACTGATGAACAGATGGATTGTCTCGTCTATCAATAACTCTAAAGGTTTAAGGTTCATAGGCAAATTAGACGTTTCCTTTCTTTTTGCATCTGCCCACTGCACATAGAGTTGAGAGTTGGAAATGATCTTAAAACTTATCATCTCAGTACAGTGGAAAGAATGCTGGTGGCCTTGAGATCCTATTCGCCTACTTTATGCTGAGAGGTAACAGAGATCGAGGCCCAGAAGAACGGAAGGTCTCTAGCTTAACCAGATCCCCTGAAGCCTAACAGGGACCAAGGGATAGAAGCAATCTCTCAGGATTCTGAACTGCTTTCCTAAAAGTTATGCAGTTGAAGAAATAGAGAATAGTCATGGGAAGACCTATAGGAACTATAATAATAGCTGGAGAATAGTCCAGCCCTGGGAGATGCTGCTCCTTCATTCCCCAGAGGTTCCTCACCACAGTCACTGTCACACCTCCACTCGGACTGGAAGGCTCAGGTAGCAGCTTCCATCTTCCATCTTCCACCTCCTGGTGGCAATGACGCCAGTATTGGGAGTGTTGTAATAAGGCACCATATTGCAATCATGATATTCTTAAATGCTTGTCCCAGCCCTGGGAGATAAGATAATGGAGTTAGTTGGCTCAGGGCCATGCCTGAATCCCACCTTCCGCTCTCTGATTCTTCTCTTCTTCCTCTCTCTTTACCTCCTTTCTTCCCCATCCCTAATTCTCCTTCAATCCACTCATTAATTCACCTCATTTATTGAATCCTAAGCCATTATGCTAGACACTGCTTCATCCTTTTTTGCTCTTCTGTAGTCCTTTGCCTGACTTTCTCATTCCTCTTTCCTTTCCTCCACTATCACTGTATTCCTTTTTGGGGGTAGTACTGTGGTGGGGGAAAGAGGAGGTGGAGGGGAGGGGCAACACGAGTGAGAGGCTGGTTG